GGACCTTGGGGACACCCCCGTGTCCTTCTGTTGGGGACACCGTGGTCACCTTGAAGTCCCCTGTCCCGTTTTTGGTCACCACAATGTCCCTGATGTCCCCACAGGGTCTCTAACAGGACCCTGTTTTGTCGACAGTGTCCCCAACAGGACATCAGGGGACACTTGGGCCTTGTTGGGGACTCTGAGGGGACATTGGGGTCCCGTTGGGGACATTGGGGGGGAATTTTGGAGGCACCTGCCCGGGTGCCACGGGCTGGGGGCAGTGACGTCACCTCTTCCTGCTTCCTCCATCCGGCCACGCCACATTCCTCCACCTGAAGTGTCCCCAGAGTGTCCCCGGAGAGTCCCCAGAGTGTCCCTGGAGCGTCCCCAGGGGCCATGGAGCCCCTCAAGGTGCGACAATTCCAGAGTGGTGCGGGGGAGGGGACAGAGGGGAGAGTGGGGTGACAGAGGGGACACGGGGGCTGGTGAAAGGGGCAGTGGGGTGACAGAGGGGACACGGGGGCTGGTGAAAGGGGGCAGTGGGGGACGGAGGGAACACGGGGGTGGCAGGAGGTGACAGGAGACCACAAAGGGACAGGAGGAAATAGTAGGAAAGGAGAGGGTGACAGAGGAGTGGAGACGGGGGACAACAGGAGGTGGCAGTGGGTGGCAGAGGGGATGAGAGGGTAACAAAGATAAAGAGGAGGCAGCAGAGCCCTCCAGGGAGGGGACAAAGGGTACTCCAGGAGAGCACAGGGGACTCCCCAGGAGGCCACAAGTGCCACCAGGTCCCTGACATCTCCCCTGTCCCCTCCCCAGCTGTCCCCAGCCCTGCTGCAGCCACAGGTCACTGTGGTGGCCATCCTGGATGAGCTGCTGGCCACTCTGCCCAGGCGGGATGAGATGATGTTGCTGCCCAAGTCTGCAGAGAGCCTGAACTGGGACCTGGAGGACTTCACCAGGGAGCTCCGGGCCACCATAAAGTGCATTGATGACACCTGGTGGCCCGACATTGTCACCTCCGATGGTGATGACCCTGTCACCTCCCTGAGCCAGGCCCTGGCTGCCCACAAGAGCACCCCATGGACCGCCTGGGACCATGTGAAAATGGAGGCCATGATGTGGCAGGGCTTGGTGGACGTGCTCATGGAGAGGTGGGTCAAGCTATCTGGGAAGGCCACCAAGCTCCGCAGCCTCTGGTGGAAGGTGGTCACTGAGGCGGCCGACATGGCGATCACCATCACCTCCTTGGCACGCTACCGGCAGGACAAGGCTGCCCGTGATGGGACAGCTCAGGAAAACATGGTGGAGCTGGGTCAGGCCCTGGGCAGGGAGGAGGGGGCCAAGGGGGTGGCCGGGCACGAAGCCTGGGTGAGGAGAGATGCCAGGGTTGCTGGCAGTGAGGCAACAAGGGCCACCAAGGAGAGACAGTTAGCGGAGGTGGCCCTGGGGCTGCTGGAGCGCTTGGTGGCCGCGTGTGACAAAGCCACCGCCCTCCCCCGGGAGCTGCAGTGGCGGCTCGAAGACATCGAGGACACCCTGAAGGGGACAAATGAGGCATCCCAAGATGTCCCCGAGGACTTGGTGGACAAGGTGGCTGAGGCCAAGCGGCTGTGGGAAGCGAACGCCCACCTGGCCAAGGATCACCTGCTGGGGGTAGTTGACGACATCGTCAAGATCTATTTCTATGGTGCTCCCGCCAGCCCCAGTGCCTGTGGGGTGGCCGAGCGGTGCCAAAGTGCCATCGAGGACATCCCAAGGCTCCTTCAACTCCTGGATCGTCCCCAGAGCATCCCCAAAGTGTCCCCAGTGAGCATGAAGCTGCATGAGGTGTGACGGGGTGGGGGAGATGGGAACAGAGGGGACACTGAGGGAGGAAGGGGCATGGGGGTGGGGACGGGGCAGTGGGGTGTGGGGGGGACACGGGGGCAGGTGGGAGGGTGGTAGCAAGTACAAGAGGCTGACAAAGGGATGGAGGAACAAAGGGGACCCCTTGGGGGCACGGTGCCACTGTAGGAGGTCACAAGTGCCACCAGGTCCCTGAAACCTCCCCTGTCCCCTCCCCAGGTGTCCCCTCCGCAGCTGCAGGCGCTGGTGGCCGTGGTGGCCACCCTGGGCAAGGTGGTAGCCGCTGTGACCGGGCCACACAGGGGCAAGTTCCTGCATGAGTCCCTAGACTCCCTGCATGAGGACCTGAAGAACTTCACCCAGAGCCTCTCTAAGATCCTGGACCACAGCGATGTCACCTCCCTGGGCCACTGTGGTGTCACCTCCCTGGGCCACCATAGTGTCACCTCCCTGGGCCACCATAGTGTCCCCTGCCTGGGCCGGGCCCTGGCCACCCTCGGGGCCACCCCAGGGACAACTGGGGCCAGTGTGAGAGCCGTGGCCAGTGCCTGGCGGGAGTCAGTGGCCAAGCTCGTGGACAGCTGTGACCAGCTGGCCAGGGAGGCCACCAAGCTCCGTGACGCCTGTGGGAAGGTGGTCATGGACCAACAGCGGATGGTGTCCCGGGACAAGGAGGAGGTGGCCCGGGAAATGGCCACACATGATGCCCAGGTGGTGGCAGCCACCAACGAGGCCATGGGAGAGGCTGTGGTGGCCACCAGGCAGGCAATGGCAGCCACCAAGAGGGGACATTGGGCAGTGGCGGCCCTGGGGCTGCTGCAGTGCTTGGTGGTTGCGTGTGACAAAGCCACCTTGTTCATCTGGAACATGGAGTGCCGGCTCAAGGACATCAAGGCCATCCTGAAGGGGACAAATGAGGTGTCCCCTGATGTCATCCAGGCCTTGGTGGCCAAGGTGGCCGAGTTTGAGTGGCTGTGGGTGGCCAGCACCCGCCTGGCCAAGGATCACCTGCTGGGGACACTTGGGGTCATCGACAACATCCTCTTGAGTCCCTGTGGTGACCATGGCGGCCCCGGTGGCCCCGTCAGCCGCGCGGTGGCCGAGCGGTGCCAAAAAGCCA